GTTTTTTGACTTGAATCACAGCCATTCTTTCTAGTGTGGAATGGCATCTCATTGTGGTTTTAATTTGCAATTCTCTGACAGTTAATAATATTGAGCATTTGTTCATGTGTTTATCAGTTACTTGTATGTCTTCCTTTGAGAAGTGTCTGTTCATGTCATTTGCCCACTTTTAATGGAGTTGTTTTGTCTTGTCAACTTGTTGGCACTCTTTACAGATTCTGGATATTAGTTCTTTGTGGTCTGCTCTATGTTTCAGTGTGTTTGTATGAATACGATGTGGGAGGATGTATACAGGGCTATTATAAGGTAAGAATGAAGAGGGGTTAGTGAAGATAATTAACATTAAACATAATTTTAACTGGTCCACTTTCAGTGGGCAGCAAGGTTGGTTCCATGTTTTTGCTACTGTGAATAGTGCTTCAATAAACATGCTTGCACAGGTATCTTTTTTGTAGAATGATTTGAGTTCCTCTGGGTATATTCTCAGGAGGGGGATAGCTGGATTGTAGAGAAGGACAATTTTCAGATCTTTTAGGAATCGCCACACTGTTTTCACAGACACTGTATTAGATTTCACTCCCCCCAACAGTGTAGAAGAGTTCCCTTTTCTCTTCATTCTCTTCAGCTTCTGTTGTTTTTTGAGTTATTGATGATATGGCAATCCAGACTGGAGTTGGGTTGTATCTCAGTGTGGTTTTGATTTGCATTTCTTTGATGATTAGTGAAGCTGAGCATTTTTTCATGTATCTGTTGGTTGCTCGGATGTCTTCTTTTGAGACGTATCTATTCTTCTACCCACTTTTCAATAGGGCTGTTTGCTTTTTTCCTCATGGCACGTTTGAGTTCTGATGGAATATTATGCAACCATCCCATTCACAATAGCTACAAAAAAGAAAAAAAATGAAATACTTTGGTAGCTTCCTAACTAGAGAAATGAAAGATGTTTACAACAAAAACTACGAAACACTCTCAAAGAAATCAAAGAAGACACACAAAAAAAATGGAAAAAAAAGTTCCATACTCATGAATAGAAAGAATGAACATTGTTAAGATGTCCATCCTACCAAAGGCAATATATAGATTCAATGCAATACCCATTAAATTACCAACATCATTCGTCTCAGACCTGGAAATGACAATACAGAAATTCATATGAAATCATAAAAGACCACAGATAGACAAAACAATCCTTAGCAAAAGAAGCAAAGCGAGGAGTATCACACTTCCAGACTTTAAACTTTATTATAAGTATACAATAATCAAAACAGTCTGGTATTGGTACAAGAACAGACATAGAGATCAATGGCAAAGGATAGAGAAGATGGAATAAAAATCTCAATTTCTCAACCAACTTATCTTTGACAAAGTCTCCATCAACAACCACAGGAGAAAGGAAAACATATTCAGTAAATAGTGCTGGGAAAACTGGTTGACCACATGCAGAAGAATGGAATAGGACCCCTACCTATCACCATACACAAAAATTAACCTTAAATGGATCAAAGACCTAATGTCAAACTTCAAACTATATGAATCTTAGAAAATGCAGAAGTCACTCTTATACGAATCAGAGTAGGCGGTTAACTCCTGATCAAAACCCTAAGTGCCCATGCTATAAGAGAGAAGATAGAGAAGTGGGACCTCACCAAACTGACAACCTTCTGCAAAGCAAAATAAACCATCAAGAGAGTGGGGAGGGAGCTCACAGACTGTAAAAAATTATTTACCAACTGTATATCTGACAAAGGCCTAACATCTAGGATCTATAAGGAACTCAAACATGCTGAAAGAAAAAAACCAAATAAACCTATTGCAAAGTGGGCAAAATATATGAATAGATAATTCTCAAAAGAAGACATATGAGCAGCCAACAGATACATGAAAAAATGCTCAGCCTCACTAATTGTCAAAGCAATGCAAATTAAAACCACACTGAGTTACCTCCAACTTAGTCAGGATGGCCATCATCAATAACTCAAAAAATAACAGATGCTGGAGAGAATGCAGGGAAAAAGGAATGCTTCTACAATGTTGGTGGGCGTGTAAACTTGCACAACCTCTGTGGAAAGCAGTGTGGTGATTCCTAAAAGATCTAAAAATTGACCTTCCAAAAGACCCAGCAATCCCTCTTCTGGGAGTATACCTGGAGAACCTCAAATTACTCTGTAAAAACGTACCTGCGCATGAATGTTTATTGCAGCATTATTTACAAAGCAGAAACCTGGAGCCAACTGTGCTGCCCATTGAAAGAGGACTAGATTTTAAAAATGTGGTACAAAAGCACAATGGAATAGTACACAGTCATAAAGAAGGACAAAATTATGGACTTCATAGCCACTTGGATGGAGTTAGAGTCTATAATACTCAGTGATCCATCACAGAAACAAAGATCTGAATACCACATGTTCTTATTCATAAGCAGACCCTGCATATTTATCATAACACTATAAAAAAGGGATTGTCAGTAGGGGGACACTGTCTGGGGATTAAGGGGAGGGCACGTAACATCAATAAGAGTACCTGATCTGAAGCCAGGCAAAGTGGGGACCAAAGGAAGACCCAAAGTTTACCTGTACGATGACCACTTATGCACCTATCCCTAAATTGTACCTCACAACTTTAAAATTTAAGAAAACAAATATTATACAGTCATAATGAAAGAAAAAATTATGGACTTTGCAGCAACTTGTATGGATTTAGAGTCTCTAATACTCAGTGATCTATCACAGAAACAAGGAACTGAGTACCACTTGTTCTCACTCATATGTGGACCCTGAACATTTATGATAATAATACAAGAAAGAGATTGGCAGTAGGGGGACACTGCTGGGGGTGGGGGATGCAACATCAGTGAGGGTACCTGATCCTAAACCAGGTGAAGTGAGGACCAATGGAAGGCCCAAACTTCACCTGTTCGTTGACCACTTATATACCTAATTTTGAATTATACCCCACATTTTAAAAATAAAATAATAATAATACAAATAGTTTTAAAATTATTTGTTTCACTGCTAACTAATGAAAGTCTTTTTTGTTTTTTATGTGTTTTTTAAAATTTAAAAGGTGTGGGGTATAATTTAGGATTATATATACAAGTGATCATCATACACTTGTATGATGGGCCTCCCTTTGGTCCCCACTTTGCCTGGTTTGAGATTAGGTACTCTTATTAATGTTATGTGCCCCTCTCCTCTGGCTGTGTCCTGCTAATGCCAATCCCTTTCTTATAAGAGTATGGCAAATGTTCAGGGTCCGTTTATGAGTGAAAACATGTGGTATACAAGTTCTTTGTTCTGTAATAGAACACTGAGTATTATAGGCTCTAAATCCATCCAAGTTGCTGTGAAGTTCATATGTTTGTCCTTTTTTATGGCTGTGTAATATTCCATTGAGTATATGTACCACATTTTAAAAATCCAGTCCGGTTTCAATGGGCAGCATGGTTGAGTCCATATTTTTGCTATTGTGAATAGTGCTGTGATAAACATGTGTGTGCAGGTATCTTTTTGATAGAATGATTTGAGTTCCTCTGGGTATATACTAAGTAGAGGGATTGCTGGATCATAACAAAAGTCAATTTCTCATTCTTTTTGAAATCATCACATTGTTTTCCATAGAGGCTGAACTAGTTAGCATTCCCACCAGCAGTGTAGAAACATTCCTTTTTCTCCTCATCCTCACCAGCATGTTTATTTTTTATTTTTTATTAATAATGACCATTCTTACTGGGATTACGTGGTATCTCAATGTGGTTTTGATTTGTATTTCTCTGATGACTAGTTGGGCTGAGCACTTTTTCATATGTCTGTTGGCTGTCTGTATGTCTTCTTTCGAGAAGTATCTATCCATGTCTTTTGTCCACTTTTTAATGGGGCTGTTTGTTTTTTTTTTCCTTTTGGCACGTTTGAGTTTCTTATAGACCCTGGATGTTAGGCCTTTGTCAGATATACAGTTAGCAAATATTTTTTCCCATTCTGTGAGCTGTCTCCCCATTCTTTGATGGCTTCTTTTGCTTTGCAGAAGTCTTTCAGTTTGCTCAGGTTCAACTTATCTATCTTATCCCTTTTGACATGGATACCTGGTATTTTGATCAGGAATTGGTTGCCTACTTGGATTCCCATAAGGGCGTCTCCTGTGTTTTCTAAGATTCTTATAATTTGAGGTTTTGTGTTTAGGTCTTTGATCCATTTTGAGTTGAATTTTGTGTATGGTGATAGGTTGGGATCCTGTTTCAATCTTCTGCATATGGTCAGTCAGTTTTCCCAGCACCATTTACTGAATAGGTTCTCCTCTCCCCAGTGGTTGGTGGTGGAGACTTTGTCAGAGAGAAGTTGGTTGAGAAATTGAGGTTTTTCTTTTTTTCCTGAAAACAAATTTTATTAATTTATTTATTTAGAGTTGGAATCTCACTCTGTCACCCAGACTGGAGTGCAGTGGCATTCTCCTGGCCACTGCAGCATCTACCTGCTAGGCTCCGGTGATCCTTCCACCTCAGCCTTCTTAGTATCTGGAACTACAGGCGTGCGCTACCACGCCCGGCTAATTTTTTGATTTATTGTAGAGGTGAGGTCTCGCCAAGTTGCCCAGGTGGGTCTTGAACCTGCAGGCACAGGCAATCCACTCACCTCGGTCTGCCAAAGTGCTGGGATTACAGGCTGAGCCTGGCCAACAAGTTTTATTTAAATAAGGGTTTAAATACATTATACATAACGGTATAACCGAGGGGGGAAAAAATCCAGAAACCAGTTGTTACTTCACATGGCATTGGTTTCAGGTTTGTTCCCTTGTCAAAAGTTTAACTGAGAGAAGGCTGGTCTCACATTCTAGTGTTAGGACATCCCTCAGCTAGATATGTCTGGTGAGGAAGACCTCTGTGGCAAGGCAGACATGCTATCACCCCGGGAAGGGGGCCACTCTGACCTCTGCCCGGCTGGTTGGGATGGAGAGACCAGGCATCTCTCTTTCACAGCCAAAGGTTCCCTTTAAGGGCAAATCCTCACGTCATCCTCTCCTCTCGGGTTCACCGAGGCTCATTCTGGTGGTGACAATCTTTCAGGCCAGGGAACTCTCCAGAGAGAAAACTGAGGAACTTCTGGCCAGACATAGTTGTCTGTGATCCTAGGGCTCTGGGCTTGGTTGAAATATCACGTTATTGCTTTGTTTCAAGCTTGACCCTGCCAGGCACCTCCTGCTTGACCTCTGTTTAAATGAGGGACTTCCAGACTAGACAGCATGGCTCTTTTCAGCTTATTGCCTGAAGGAGTTACACTAGTCCAGGTTAAAAGCAGACCCCAAATGGTTACATTATACAAGCTGTGAGGTTTTAAAATTTGTGACAAGGGACAGAAGGGAAATTCTACTCATTGCAAGGATATCCTTACTTAAGGTTCAATGAGCCACAAAAGCACTTAAAACCCATGAACCTTCAACTGATTGTCCTTAGCCAGTCCGATCTCTATGAGGAACTGGCATGTGTTCTTGCGCTGGTCACCCTGTAGCTGAATTGCTTCTCCATATTCTGGATGCTCAATTACAGTACCATTGCAGGCAAATTTCTTCTTAAATGCCTTCACTAGTTTCTTTTTATCGTAATCATCAGTGATCCCTTGGATGGTAGTAAGGGTCTTCCTGCCATTTTCACTGTTGAATTCTCATAAGGATATAATCCTCAGTGCCAGCAGGAAGCAGGTTATCATCCCTACTTGCATCAGCAAAGGGGTCAAAAGAGTGGAGGTTCTGGATAGCAGACATACGATGCGATTCCTTTTCCTCGGTGGAAAGTGTCTGCGGAAGGTGGTGGAGGGAGAAGACGGGCAGGGGGGACGGAGCGTTGGGAAGCGAGGGGTCTCAAGGGGAAGGCTTCTGAGTCCTTGTTGGGGGCTCAGTGACTGGGGAGGTTTTTCATCCATAATCTCTATCCTGTTCCATTGGTCTATATCCCTATTCTTGTACCAATAGCAGGCTGTTTTTGATTACTGTAGCCTTATAGTAAAGTTTAAAGTCTGGAAGTGTGATACCTTCTACTTTGTTTCTTTTGCTGGAACTATTTTGACTATTCATGGTCTTTTATGTTTCCATATAAATTTCTGTATTTTCGTTTCCAAGTCTGAGAATGACATTGGTATCTTAATGAGTACTGCGTTGAATCTGCAGATTGCCTTTGGTAGGATGGACATTTTAACAATATTAATTCTTCCAGCCCATGAGCATGGAATATTTTTCCCTTTGTTTGTGTCTTCTTGGATTTCTTTGAGCAGTATTTCGTAGTTTTTGTTGTAAAGGTCTTATACCGTTCTGGTTAGGAAGAGGCTGAGATATTTCTTTTCTTTTCTTTTCTTTTTTTTTTTGTGTGTGTGGCTACTGTTAATGAGATTGTGCTTTTTATTTGTTTCTCTGCCTATTTGTTGTTGGTGTATAAGAACGTGACTGTCTTTTACACATTTATTTTCTACCCTGAGACTTTGCCAAAGTCCTTTACAGTACAAGGAAGTTTTTGGGCAGATTATCCTGGATTTTTGAGATATAGGGTCATATCATCAGC